CATAGTTTGTCAATCCCCTCTAGGGCTGTTACCTTACACACGTTGTTCCCTACAGCATCCTCAGCACCTAGCGCAAAGCAAGTGCTTGGTAAATACACACTTGGAGAATATATGAACAGCCTTCCTTCTATGTGCCCGGTGCTGTGGACATATTCACAGCCTTTTACACTTATGGAAACCCTAGAAGAAGGTACTTTTATTTCCATTTCATAGATGAGCAAAATAAGGCTCGCTGAAACTCACACAGCTGTTGTATTAGCTTCCTAGGAACACTGCAACAAAGGACCACAAATTTTGTGGCTTAAAACAGCAAAAATGTATTCCTGAAAATTGTGGGGGCTGGAAGGCCATAATCAAGGTGTCAGCAGGGCCATGCTCTCTCTGACGTTTTGAGGTGTAAATCACTTCTTGCCCCACTTCTTGCCTCGTCTAGCTTCTGGAGACTCCTGGAATTCCTTGACTTGTGGCAGCATAATTTGACCCTGTGCCTCTGTTTCCACACGACCTCCTTCCCTCACTGACTCTCTGAGTCTACATAGGGGACCTGTCTCCCTCATGTCTGTGTGTTCTCTCCTTTTACAAGAACACCAGCCATTGGGTCTAGCACACACTCTAATCTACTAAGACCTCATTTCAACTAATTTAATCTGTGGTGATAAATCTTTAAATAACATCACATTCTGAGTTCCTGGGTGAACATGATTTTTTCAGAAAATAGCATTCATCCGACTGTACCTATCAAACAGTACTGTGAAGATTTGAACTTGACACCAGTTGAATAGTTTTCAACTTTGAAATCATAACCTCACCAATGAAGTTAAATTAGCAGTTAACAGAAGTGTCTGATTTTAGGATTCTTTGGAGACATGATTTGATTGAATTGATGGGGAAAGGAACTAAGAAACTTACCTTTCAGGAGCTTTGTCTATGATATAGGTTCTGAGTAGTGTCCTAAATGTAATGTAACTGTTGACTTTGATGACATTTGATATGTATCTTATGACTGGAGGTTTAAGATGTTTTTCTACAGATGCCATTGGGTGAACAAGGGAAATCACATTGAAAATTTCATGTCTTTTTACTTAACATCTTTGGATACAAGGCCTGTAAGTCAAGAGAAATTCCTGAAGTAATTTTGAAGCATGTTTCCTTTATCAGGGGAGAATTCAGTTCTGTAGTCCATACATTTGGGAAATACCAGGCCAAAGCACATGAAACAGCTTTCTTTACTTCAGCAAATAATTGTCTCTTTTAATTCTTTAAAAATTTTAAGATATCTTGTGAATTTATAGGAGGGAGACATTATGTACATTTACCCACATTCACTGGTTATTTTTTGTAGAGTATCTCCAGAAATGAATCCTTTTCGTCACATACTTTGGCATACCTATTTTGGGTGTTTGCTTGCTTGTCTAAGTGCTGGTAAGTTCTGCTTTTCTGGAGGTAAATTTGTAAACACATTTCTCTTGATTTCAGACATTGGTTTTGAAGCCCCCCATAGTGGAAGAGCTTCCTGACAGAAGGTAGCACCTTCTGATGGGCTGCACCAAGGCACCCACTAATTTATTGGTCAACTCGTTTACTTATTTATTCACTCTCTGGTTTCACACAGATATATGGAGTCCAGAGAAGCACCTACGAACATAAAGATGATTGAGAAACAGATGTTTTTCCATTAAGTCATCCAGGTAACATAAACCAATCACCATTTCCCAAAGGAATTCTAATAGATGGAGACCATGTGTTGTGGTCTGAATTATATTTTTCCCCAAATTCACATACTGACCTCCAAATATTCAGTAATTTAGACTTTTTCTTCATTTGGAGGTAGGCTCAAAATCAAAGAGATAATTAAGGTTGCATGAGGTCATAAAGGTGGAGCCCTAATCCCAGAAGAACTGGTGTCCTAATAAGAGAGATGGACACCAGGGATCACCATGCACAGAGAGGAGGCCAGGGGAGGACGCAGGAATAAGAAGGCCTTCAACAAGCCCAAGAGAGAGGCCTCAGAAGAAATGAGACCTGTCGACACCTTGATCTTAGGTTTATAGCTTCCAGAACTGTGAGATAATGCATGTTTGTTATTTAAGCTACCTGATCTGTGGTATTTTGTCATGACAGCCAGAGCAAATTAAAGCACCATCATTGTTAAATTAAGTCCCTGTCTTCAAGAGAATCCCTCATTCAGTTCTAATGTCTATTGAGGGTTTATACTTTATTTGTACTTCAGAAGAATTTCATGGGACCAACCTGACTGTAAACCTCTTAAGAACAAGGCCTCTGTCTGTTGCGCCATTGGATCTCCACACTGACTAGTACAGCAGCAGGCATCCTCTGGTAGAATGAATATGTCATGCACATTTATATGCCCCTCTGTGCATTCATGATTGAGAGATGACCCACTATATATCTTAAAGCAAAGAACTAAGAAAAAGAGAACTACGAAAATGTTAAGTACATGGAAGTTTCAAATGTCTCTTCTGTTTCATACGTCTGTTTTTATAAATATCTTTATTCCCATTTTACAGATGAATAAACAGAGATTCAGAGATATTAAATCATTTGGCTCAGATCATAAAATCATAGGCAGAACCAGAATTCCAACTCAGTTTTTTCTCTCCTGAATGTGGAGATCATAAAATCATAGGCAGAACCAGAATTCCAACTCAGTTTTTTCTCTCCTGAATGCTGGACTGTGAGAAACAAGTACAATTAAAAATCAGTTAAAAAAGATAAAGGAAACACAATTGTGTTTTCGTCAATTGCTTATTTAGAAAAAAGAAAATCTATGTAGGCGTTCCACTTATGAAAAACAACTGAAAATTTTAGTGGACAGTACATTTGTTGGACATGCTCATAAATGAAATGGCTACCAAAAAATAGGACCACTGTCAAGCTGTGCCTTTAAAAGTAATTATTATACAGAATTCTTGAGCACATATTACATGCCAGACACTGTTCTTGATTACACATATTCTTGACACCTATTCTGGAAAGCTATAATAAAAAAACTTTGAGTGTGTTCAAAGGCAAGTGAAAAGTCTTTAAAATGAGGCCATACTTGTTGGATAAACTGGGAGGGTTTACTCTGCCGAAGAGTGAACATGACATGACAGCTGTCTCAAATATTTGAAAGATTTTGGGTTACAACAGGGAGTTAGACCTAGGAATGGAGGTAAGAGGTAGTGAGCCATCCGTTGCTGAGAGTGTAGATTGTGCCTAGGTAGAAGCAACTGCTGCATTTAATGGAAGATCAACTAGTTAAACTCTTACTTTCTTTAAACTTAAAGATGTGAAGATTCCTAGGATCTTTCTTAAGGATGTTAAGACTTCCTAAGATCATCTTTAGGATCATCTTCTCCATTAATAAGGTTGGAGGGAATAAAAATCATGTTAATTTCTTTCTGAAACTCTTGAAATAATTCCCCGGGAGAGAAACATATCAATTCTCTCCTAATCATTGCTAAGGAACCCTCACTAGGAAATTGTTGTTCAGTCCGAACCCTTCTCTATATTGGTTCTTTTATAATTATACTAACAAAATTCGGTCTCCAAGTTTCAAAGCTGATAACATTACCTATTTGGAAAGGATCGTCTATTTATTTTTTGCCTTTATCAGCGAAAGCAGCTCATCCTTAATGTCCATCATTGGGTCAGGCATTGAGCAGAAGCTTCTTAAATATAATAAGACATGGTTGGGTGTTTTTCTTATCTGGGATCAGCGTGTCTTGAGAAGTAGTACAGAGGTACTTCCGTAGTCCCTCTCTGCTCTACGTGAGTGAGTACATGGTGACAGCATCATTAGAGGAATTAGAGTACATAATCTCTCTGCAAGGGGCGGAAAAGTGCAGTTATGTGATACCACGGGGCTACCTAGAGTCCTAAAGGACAAATTAAACAATTAGCATGTTAGGAGGCATCTTGAGGGGAAATTAGGAGACATTGCAGACCAGCCCTGGCCAAGACGGCTCAAGAAAGACACTGCATGCACTGTTGCAATGTACCCAGAAAAAATCCAGGCTGTTGGGTGTGTGCGTGTGTATCAAAATTATCTAACAAATTACATTGTTGTGGCTGTGGACACTTGACTAGTAAACAAGAAAGATATGATGGCAGGAAGGAAAAAAACCGTATCCTGAGGGTGTTCCAACCTGCCGTTCGGAACACTGTGGGTGCGCCAATAATATTAATGTTCTCTGATGAAGATGGTAGCGAGGATGATGGTGATTAATGCATCCCATGGAAATAGGGCTGGGAGGATGACATAGACCAGGGACCGGGAGAGGGAGGATGACTCACGGGCGAGGGCTACCTGGGGAGACGGCGAGGTGGTGCGCACGCGGGCAGCGTGGGGGCCGCGGCTGGGCACGCGGGGCCCGGACCGGGAGGGGGCGGGTGGGTGCCCGTGGGCGGAGCGGCTCCGGAACTGAGTGGCTGGCAGCTATGTCTGCGAGAGCAGCAGCATCTCCCGGGAGCGAAGCCTCCGAGACTCCGCCTAACTGACACCCAAACTCTCCCTCTCCCTCCCGCAGCCCCAAACTGGAGGCAGCGCAGCCCGGGAGCAG